GGCTCTGAAAAAGGGGCATCATAAACTGTACCGCTACGATGGGCAGCATTTCAGCCTGGCGGTGAGTAGCCGGCGCGCCTCCCCGCCACCCCCACCCACGCCCCGGCCGTGCCTGGGGAGAGGGGCCGAGCGGCTGGGGACCCTCCTCCCGACCCCGGAGCCAACTGTCAGCCGAGTGCCCAGCCCTGGCGTTTGACAAGTGCCTGGAGAAGGGGGTCTGCCCCTGCCCCTGGGGAGGGGGACCAGCCTCCCCATTCCGCTTCATCCCCATTCCTCCCCGCAGATGTCCAGCAACCGCCCGGTGGAAATTGTCGAAGATCCCCGGGTTGTCGGGATCTGGACCAAAAACAAGGAGCTGGAGCTGTCGGTGCCCAAATTCAAGGTAGGACACCCCCCCAGGCCCCCGCGGCCTCTCCCTCCCCATCCCCGAGTTCGAAAATAACGCCAGTCCTGACCGAGCCCAGCCGGATTCCGAGTTCCCGCCGTCCTGGCCCGGGGAAGTTTTGGCGGGGAGGGGGGAGAGTGCTACAGCGAGAGGTGTCCCCTCTTGGCTACTGTAAACAAAATAACACTCGGTGAAACTGTAATCAAGGCGCTGATACGGTGTCCCGCCTGCCCAGCTGGGGGCTCCGGGTTCCCACCTGGCTCCTGTCCGCTCAGGAGTTTGGCCCCGGGACCTTTCCCCCTTCCCAGCCCTCTGACTTCAGAGGGGACAACTTCCCAGCCCAAGGGGTCGCCCCTGACCCGGCAGCAGGGAGAGGAGGCCAGAATAGGGGGTGGAGAAAGAGAAACTGTTTCTTTTTCCCCTTTCCTTCCGAACCCAGAGGACTTCCACGTTCCAAACGATTTAATCCTCCGCTTCCCGGGCCCGCCCGCGTGCATTACCCCCCACCAAAAAAAAAAAAACTTTAAATTTTTTACTCTTCATTGTTTTAAACGGGCAGCCGAGTGAGGAATGTTGTGTTCTCCACTTCGGTTTTAATGTTCTCCACACTCCCTTCCCCCTCGGCCCCCGCCAGATCGATGAGTTCTACGTGGGCCCGGTGCCTCCGAAGCAGGTGACATTTGCCAAGCTGAATGATAACATCCGTGAAAACTTCCTGAGGGACATGTGCAAGAAGTATGGGGAGGTGGAGGAGGTGGAGATTTTGTACAACCCCAAGACCAAGAAGCACCTGGGCATCGCCAAGGTGGTCTTTGCCACGGTCAGGGGAGCCAAGGAGGCGGTCCAGCACTTGCACAGCACTTCGGTCATGGGTAACATCATCCACGTGGAGCTGGACACCAAAGGTGAGTGGAGGCCGGTCAGACGGCCCACGGGGGAGGAGCTGCAACGGGAGCTGTCAGCATGACCCTTTTCCCTTTTCTTTTTCCAACACTGCCCCTTCCTGCCGTGTTGGGAGGCCCCCCTCACTCTTCTTGGGATCCCCCTACTTTTGCCCCCTCCTGAGGGTAGAGTCACATGGAGCTAAATGTGTTGTCTGTTGCTAGGAGACAGGCTATAATTTACCAAATGTGCCTGTCCTTAGCCACTGCACCCCTAGGGACCACCTGGAGGCTTCCCCACTGCTGACACCCCCGTGGGCCCATCTCAGACCCCTGGTGGCCTGGGTTTAGACAGTCCCCCGTGTTGCTGTCTGTTAGAGGAGTAGGCAGAGTTTTGTTTATTTGTAGGGGGCTGTGGGAGAGCCACTAGGATGCCTTTAAGCACATCTAAAGTCCCTTAACTAAAAAGGGAGTTCTCTAAGGATACAGGTTGTCCCTCCTTGCCACCCCTTCCCCCTGGAAGTGGGGACCAATCTGGGGCCGGGAGTGTTGTTTCATTGATAATGGTCCCAATAGAGCGGGGCGGGCTGCTCTGGGTGCTCACGGGTTGACACTGTGTCTTCCCTCCTCTCTCTTAAAGAGACAGCAGCACCTCCCCTGCACTGGAATCTGGCTCGGCACTCACTCTGAGCCTGCTCCAAGAAGAGCTAAACTGGGGAGGCCACACCTCCCACCCTTAGGGTCTTCAGAAATTCCTCTGGGATCCTGCCCAATCCACAGAACCCCGCCCCTCCTTTTTCTAGTTTCTCAATCTCTGTGGGGCAGTAAGGACCCTTTAAATTTATATACCCCCTTGGATGGTTGCAGTCTGATTTCTTCCTGAGAATCTGAGCATGGAGCATGGATGCCCCTCCCCCATCCCATGCCCACATCTTAAAGAGCAGCCAGGTGTCACCAAAATTTCATTTCTGCAAAAAAAAAAAAAAAACCCTCAGAGACTGACAACTAAGTTTGTATTTCAAGAAAGAGAACAAGAGACCAATAAAGTGTAAAGTTTAGCTCAAGGAATGTGTCTCCTTTGCATATGTAAGCAGCTGCCTCCAAGGCTCTATAAATATAAGTAATCTGGGGCCCCCTGGTCTGTAAAGGCTTCTCTCTGCTGAGGGGTGGAGGGTTCCAGTACAGGGCTCAGTGAGACCGTGCCCCAGGCAGTCCCCAGATCAACTTGGGGCCCTCAGCCTGGTCAGAGGCATGTGGGATTCTCAGTAATGTGCTACTAGAGTGTGTTTTGCAAACGCTGCTTGTCACCTGGTCCCAGAGAGTTAACAAACTGTCACCTCCGTGTAACTGAGCTTCCCTTCCCCTTGCTACCAGCCCCTGGCTGTTAAGTGGAAAGGAGAGGGAAGACCTGAATCTTTCTTTGGGCACCATTGCCCAGGAAGTGGGAAGAGGCTTTGTGTTGGGGGTGGCAATTCTGGATTTGGGGAGTCCCAGTCCCATGAGGCATTAAATGCTGAATCTCAGGATCGAAAAAATCATATGGTTTTGTAGCTGCATCGAGCAGATAGGGATCCTCAGTAAGGTGCAAAGAGGGTTGGGAATGTGGTCCGGGTCACACAGTTTCCCCAGGCCTGGGGTCTCAGGCACAAGGATGCCAAGCAGGTTGGAATCCCTGTAGAGGCTGCCCCATTTTGGAACCTCACTGAGACCCCTCACCCTGCTTGTCCACAGGGGAAACTCGCATGCGGTTCTACGAACTGTTGGTCACCGGCCGATACACCCCCCAGACCCTCCCAGTGGGTGAGCTGGATGCTGTCTCTCCAATTGTGAATGAAACCCTACAGGTGGGTTTTTGCTGTCACTCTCCCCCATTACCAGCTCCCTGCTGAGACATCCCCCTACGCCAGCATGTCCACACCATCTCCAGCTTTGGAGACTAAGGTCTAGAAGGGAAATGAGCCTGGCCACACCCACCACACATTGAGCAGGGTCTAAAAGCCCTGTTTTCCCAAGCTCCCCTTCAGTGTGGCTCCCCTGGGATTGGTTCTGTTCTCTGTGGCTTCCAGCTGGCACTGAGGCCCTCCCCCGACCCCTTTCCTGACATAGGCTGGGATTCCCACAGACCCACAGCCTGCCTGGGGTTGCTTTTCCACATTAATGCTGGACACCAGGACACCAGGGCCTTTAGCGTCTGGTGTCCTGGGCACCCCGGAAAGGAGAGTTCATGCCCCCCTTTCCAGAGCAAGACTGACTCCTTCCCAAACCATTGCCTCCAAGGACACTCACCAGGACAAACGTCCCCCAGCGTTGACCCAGCCAATAGGAGTGAAGAGTCTTCGCTTACTTGCTCTTTAGTTAGGCTGTTCATTAGGCACTTTTCCCACGTCAAACTATTTAAATCCTAAAACATTGGGAGGCTGGGAGGAACAAAACCCTTGGCTACCCTCTCACTCCAAGACCGTAGTTCTTGGTTATAGCCCTGCCTGGAAGGTCTTTGATTTCTGACAGCCTCAGGCAGGAAGGAAATCTCAGCCTAAATCAAGAGGTCAATGTCTTCTCTTTTTTTCTCTGCCTTTGAAATTAGGAAAAACCCTCAAGCTTCCCCAAGCATAATTGGCTACCCTTAATTGGCTTGCCATAAGATTAGAAAAAAGTTAGTACCATCCCCGACACTCCTCAATCGCCTCCACTTCCTTTCCACATGCTGCAGTTCTAGAGCGGTTTGGCTCTGAGCTCCCCAGCAGTCAGGGTGAGAAGGGAGAACAGCCCCAGTCCATTGCATGCACCACCACCCCCAATGATTTCTCATCTTTCTCTCTTTCTCTAGCTGTCAGATGCCCTGAAGCGCCTCAAGGATGGTGGCCTGTCTGCAGGCTGTGGCTCTGGCTCCTCCTCTGTCACCCCCAATAGCGGTGGGACACCCTTCTCCCAGGACACAGCTTACTCCAGCTGCCGCCTGGACACACCCAACTCCTATGGACAGGGCACCCCACTCACGCCGCGCCTGGGCACCCCCTTCTCACAGGACTCCAGCTACTCCAGCCGCCAGCCCACACCCTCCTACCTCTTCAGCCAGGACCCTGCGGCAACCTTCAAGGCCCGGCGCCACGAAAGCAAGTTCACAGATGCCTACAACCGCCGTCACGAGCATCATTATGTCCACAATTCTGTGGTCACTTCAGTGGCCGGGGCAGCAGCCACCTTCCGGGGCTCCTCGGACCTCCCATTTGGGGCAGTCGGCAGCAGTGGGGCTAGCAGTGGCCCTCCCTTCAAAGCTCAACCACAGGATTCGGCCACATTTGCCCACACTCCCCCGCCTGCCCAAGCAACCCCTGCCCCTGGATTCAAGTCAGCTTTCTCTCCATATCAGACCCCAGCACCCCCTTTCCCCCCACCACCTGAGGAGCCGACTGCCACAGCTGCCTTTGGGGCCCGTGACAGTGGGGAGTTCCGGAGGGCACCTGCACCCCCACCCCTGCCACCCGCTGAGCCTCTGGCCAAGGAGAAGCCCGGCACGCCCCCCGGCCCACCACCCCCTGACACCAACAGCATGGAGTTGGGAGGCCGGCCAACCTTCGGCTGGAGTCCTGAGCCCTGCGACAGCCCAGGTACACCCACACTGGAGTCGTCACCTGCAGGGCCAGAGAAGCCCCACGACAGCCTGGACTCTCGCATCGAGATGCTACTGAAAGAGCAGCGCACCAAGTTGCCCTTCTTGCGGGAGCAGGACTCAGACACTGAGCTGCAGATGGAGGGCAGCCCTATCTCCTCCTCCTCCTCCCAGCTCTCCCCATTGGCCCCCTTCAGCACTAACTCCCAGCTGGGCTTCCGTGGCCCCACACCACCCTCCTCACGCCCCTCCAGCACTGGCCTGGAGGACATCAGCCCTACGCCACTACCTGACTCTGACGAGGACGATGAGCTTGACCTGGACCTGGGGCCACGGCCCCCACCTGAGCCAGGTCCCTCAGACCCCACTGGTCTTCTGGGCCAGACAGCTGAGGTGGCCTTGGACCTGGCCAGAGACAGGACCCCAACCTCAGAGAAGATGGATGAGGTACCACCATGTCTGTCCATCTGTCTGGGATTGGTTTTGTCTGTTTTGCATCCTCTTTTCCCCCTGGGAACATTTAGGATAAGTAGCTAAGACACAAAAGCAACAGGGCTAGGTAAGCCAATATAACAGATTGAATTTAGCCATCAGGCTGTGATTGAGCTGCTGGTTTGGCTCTGAGCTCCCTAGCAGCCATGGAGAGAAGGAAAATATGGCTTAGTTCTTTTGCTCTCCTCCAGTAAGGAGAGTTAAGACTTTACCTAGGGATAAATTCTGACTTGAGCTTCCTTGGTAGGAGTTTGCTGAAACCCCACAGAGTATGGGCTTTGGTGATAGTTCTAGGCCTCCTTCTCAGTTGGATGGCTTGGGAATGATCAGGGCTGGTCCTGAGGCTCAGGCAGCACTGTGCTGTGCTAGGCCAGGTGGGAGCTCCAGACACTGTCTCCTACAGCCTGGTGCCCTCCAAAGACCTGGGAAACCATGGAAGGCTGGGGGGCGGGGGGGGGGCATTGAAAGCTCCTTTCTGCTGGCTCCAGGGCTGGAGGAGTTAAGGGCTAGCTGGGGGGGTGGGGATGGGGGAAGGGTAGGGGCATAGCCAGAAGCAGGCAAAGTTGACCATCCCCCACTCTCTCCTCACCTCATCCTGGGTCTCATTGCTCAAACCTCCAGCCTCAGGAAGTTCCACCCAGGGGTTGGGGTGAGGGGCCGGGTGCCAGGTTCCCTTGGGAAGGGGTTAGGTCATCTTCCTTGGCTCCACTCCTCCCCCTCCTGGTCCAGGCACCTTCCTGGGAGCCTGTGTGCCCAGCAGGCATGAGCAGACAGGGGTTTAGACAGAGCTCTCTGCCCCTGTGGGCGGTGGGGAGGAGGGTCCCCCTTCCTGGGTCCTTTGATTAGTCCAGTTTAACTGCCTCAGGGAGGAACAGAGAGGAACTTGGCCTGCCCAGGAGAGGGCCACAGGTAGCTTGGGCTCCACGGGGCCTCCAGGCAGTTTTGGGGAAGTGGTTTCTGGTGTCAGGGGTCCAGACAGGGGGAGTTGACCAGTATATGGAGGTCGGGGGCTACTGGCCTTTCTACCCTCCCTTCTTCCCTCCCTCTGGGCTGCCTGTGTTTGAGGGAGTTTACCATGCTGACCAGCTGGTCCAGCACTGAGAAGCCCAGAGTAGCACAGAGAATGGGCCCCCCCATACCGTTTTGGGGGAAGAGGAGACTGAGACCCTGAAATCTGGTGTCTGGGGGTGCCCCAGGATAGAAGCCCAGGGAGCCTCCAGAGTACTGATAACGTCCAGGACAGCCTTTGGGAGCCCCCTGCTGGTGGCCAGGAGAGCAGCACCTGGGCTTCTTGGGTTTGAACCCAACCAGGCAGGCTGTACCCACAATCCCAGTCTAGGCTGAAGTCGAGGGGCGAGCAACACAGCGGGGACCAGTGGAGTCCAGAGGGGGAGATTCCCTTCCTCACAGAGGCTGGTGGTTAAAAATGCAGGCTCCAGTCCTTGAGCCTTGAGTCCCAGCTCTATCACTTAACTGGTATGTGACCTTGGGGAAGGCACTTTCCCTCTCTGAGTCTCAGTTTCATTGTCTGTCAACTGGGCCTGTGAGAGAGCCTGCCTCATGCAGCCTCAGCTTAAGTGAGGTGCCGCATGGGAAGCTCCAGGCACAGCAATCAGTGCTCAGCTTATTCCTGCCAGTTCTCACCCTGCCCTGGGGTAGCCAGAAGGGCAGAGGGAGGGACCGGCAGGCAGGGGTTGGAGCTTGGGCTCTGGGGCTCCCTGTGATAGGCTGGCTGCGGTGGCCTGGGCTTAACCGTCTATATCTGTGTCTTGCCTAGCTTGACGCTGTCCAGGACTGATTTCCTGGGGAGTTCTCAGAGTGGCGTAGCCTGCCTGTCCCTCCCTCGTGTGCATGGGGACCCTGAGAGGGAGAGCATGCGTGTGCATGTGTGTGCGTGCGCATGTAGAGGGGATCTAGTAAAAACCCAGAGCTTTCTCCTCCTCCTCCTCCACCTCCAGTTTCCCTTTGAGGCCTCCATCACCTTTAGGTGTGACCTCTGACCTTGTACAGACCCCGCCCCCTCACCTTTAAAGGCATTCCCTGTCTCTTGCAACCTACAAAAGCTCTGTTTCCTTCTCGGCATGTTCTCCCAGGGGCAGGCCTGAACCATCTTCTGGCCTCTTGTTCTGACACAGGAGCCTGGGGTGGCCCCTCCCTCTTGTCCCCTCCCTCTTGTCCCCACTCCTGCTCTGGCTCCTAGCTCCACCTCCACCCATGTCTTCCCCCACTTCCAGGCCTGTGCATGCAACTCCCAAAAGCCCCATGTCCCAAAGTGAACAGACCCTTGCTCATGTTAGAGCCCAGGTCATCCTGGGCTCCTCCCTCATTCACCCCTTGCCACATCCCTTGGTTCCAGCCATGGCCTCTCACTGGGCAGGTGTCCTTGGCTTGAGTCTCAGCCCTATTTGTGACTTGCCGTGCCACTAGGGCCAGTGGCTGAGGCTGTCTGCATGTTTCCTCACTTGTCAAAGGGGTGGCAGCAGAGCCCCACCTTGTAAGGTTGTCATGCAGATAGGAGAGGCAACAGTGCACATCTGCAGCACTTAGCCCCACGCTGGCCCATATTAAGTGTGTAGTCATGAGACTAGGTGAAAAGAGTGATAGAAGAAAAATAAAAACATACGTCCCTTTAATGAGCCTTTGGTGCTGCTAAACCCCTCTGCTCAGATGTCACCTTTCACTCCAGGCCCTCGCTGCCACAGCAGGCTGGGGAGCCTCTTCCTGCTTCAGACCCTGGCTCCATCTCTTATTGGCTGTATGGCCTTGGGCAAGGTACTTAAGCTCTCTGTGTCCCAATTTCCTCATCAGTAAAAATGAGGGAATAGACCTACGCAGGGTGATTCTGAGGATTGAGTGAGTTAGTTAATATATATATAGTGCTTAGAAAGGCACCCGGCACATGGAAAGCCCAATAGAGGTATTAACTATTAGTATTACCTTCTCTGAATACAAATTGAAACAGAATCTTTCAAATTGAAACAGAATCTACTTCCCACTATATGCTGCCCCCCACAACGCCCTTTCTATTTCTCCACTATATATTTCCCATCTTCATTCTGGTTGTCCTTTGCCTCTTCCCTGTAGAAGTTCAGCTCCATGAGAGCAAGATTTTTGCCTGTCTTTTTCACCTCTGTGTCCCAAGCACCTAGAACAGTGCCTGGCAAATGTTTATTGACACAGGTGCTGGGCAAATGTTTGTTGAATGAATAAATGAATCCTCATAGTGACCCCGTAAGGCAGGTACTGTGAGGTCCTTTATACAAATGGAGAAACTGAGGCTCAGATAGGTTGAGTGACTTGTGCAAGGTCCCACATCTGGGAATCCATGTTGCTGATCACCAGCCTTGCAGGAGTATGCTTCTTCCACTTTCTAATGTTTGGAAGAGGCCATAGGAGCCACTTGGCCTCCCAGGCTCACCCTCCCTGCTCTCTCCATAGGGCCAGCAGTCCTCAGGCGAGGATATGGAGATCTCAGACGATGAGATGCCCTCGGCCCCCATCACCAGCGCTGACTGCCCCAAGCCCATGGTGGTGACTCCAGGGGCAGCGGCTGTGGCAGCCCCCTCCGTGCTGGCCCCAACTCTGCCGCTGCCCCCACCACCCGGCTTTCCACCACTCCCCCCCC